TCATCTGTTTTAATCTGGGAAGAGTGGGTTGAGCTCCCTCCTTCAGCTTCAGCTCCTTATGCAGAAACATGAGAGAAGCGTCCCATAAGGATGGTAAAAACATCAAACATCCAGGCATCCCCTGGGCAATGTCCTTGCAGACAGCCAATTCTCTCACACTAGAAGCAACTTGCAGTTTCTCAAGTCACTCCTAATATGAAAAAAAACTTATGAAATTCTGGGATGTGTAGTTTAAGAGGGAAACTTAGAATTCCTAGCTAGAGAACAGCTATGGTGCCTCACCAAAGTGCAAACATAGGATGCAGCCATGGAGGTTTAAGAGGAATATAGAAATATAGAATATAGACTATAGAAGAGAAATATAGAAAATATAGAAAATCAATATGGTGCAGTGATTTAAGCATTGAAGTACACCTTTGGATACAAGGGTTCAAAGTGTCCCAGTGAGCTATGGAAACTCACTGGGTGACTTTGGTAAAATCATGCTCTCTCAGCCTCAGAGGAAGGCAAAGCCAACCCCACTTTGAACAGATCTTGCCAAGAAAACCCCAAGATAGGTCTGCCTTAGGGCCACCATAAGTTGAATGACTTGAAGGCAAGCAACAACATAGTAATATAACTGTGTAGTGTGAAGGAACCCTTACAATGAACAAGCAAACCTGTAGAATACTGGCCTAGTTTCGTGGCAATGAAAATATTACCACAGTGTGGTAAATCTTACCAGATGTGTGGAAATAGTTTCACCCTGTATGAGTGGATAAGACCAGCTTATATATTCCATATTTTGTCAACATCAAATGAATGCATACCATGCCATGTCACAGCCACACAGGAAAAAGCATAAATTGAAATGAAACCCAAAAGCAACCAAAGCAGTTAAAACAATCATCCTGTTTTCCTTTATGTCCTTATCTAATTTGATCTAGAAAAAAAAATTAGATTGGCCAATCTGGAAAATATTGTTTAGATTGGCCTGGGCTTAGATAGAAGACCTTAAGGCTTTGTTATATGAAACCCATAAACTCCTTAATCCTTTCTGGCAGACAAAATCTCAGCACCTTTTGAAATATGTCTTTTTGTGAACCCAAGAGACTACTTCAGAAAAGCTCTATACAACTCACAGCACAAAACACTTCAGAGAAAACTCTGTTGCC